CTTTTTTAATTCGACCTTTTGTTTTGACCTATGAACACAAGGGTAAGGGTACCTTCTTCATTTCTTTATTTAACGTCGGTCTCTGTTCCACAATCTAGTGCCAATCACCGACGGACATCGATTGCCATCCATTGACCACAATCGAATGTGCAGGAAGGCAGCTTCCACACCTGCGTAGGATATCGCACCCATTCACAACACACATGGGCTGAGACCAACGGCTTTACTTCCCTTCCGAAGGAAGACGTGACCAGAGATGTTTATGCCTCAGAAAAATCCCACCGACCTCGGCTGGGATTGAACCCAGACCCTTTGGGGTGTGATAAAGCAGTCACGCTTACCGCTAAACCACCGGCGCCAGCTGGGGTAAGGGCATCGAGAATGGATGCTGGAAATTAAAAATATACCGGCATCAAGGATAAAATTGTAGTATTAATTTAAAAATTCAGACTGACCAGTGAACCGGGAAACCGAGAAATTCGGAAACAACCGTGAATCTGAAATCACCGAGAACCAAGCTTGCAAATGCGCATTACAGCTAAAATGCTATTTTTCGGATTTATGAAGCTATGAGATATTTTAATGATAAATCTTATTTACAAGATGCAATAAAAGAAGGTAAAGTGTGTGTATGACACATACAACCTGTCAATTTAGCTTTCAGAGGGTCACAATAGCGATTAGCTGTAACGATGAGCAACGCGATGAGCGAGCAATCAGCGATCATAAAATCGTTAACCTTCTGAAAGCAAAATTGACAAGTTTTATATGTCATACACAAACTTTACCACCTCTTCTCGCTTCTTGCAAATAAAATAGCATCCCTTAGTTTCATAACTAGCAGGAAACTAACAATTAGCAATTGCAAGCCTGCCGGGAACAACCCAAGAATTTCGATGAAATGTACGTGGAAAAACATCAAATTCCAAAATAATATTCTGGACCTTGAAAAGACAGGACTCATCGCGATACAGTCACTTTGATGTACTATTATAAGAATTTCGAAATAAATTCCTAAGAAATTTTGAAGTTATTTTAATAAATTCTAGGGATAAAACCAAATAGAAAAATCTATTGGGAGTTATGAAAAAAAAACTCTAATAGAGTTGTGAATAGAGCTTCAAGCCAATTGTTCGAAGTGCTCCAATGTAATTGTAAGAAGAGCTCCAGGTGAATTTTAATGCAACTTCAGAGTTGAATTTGTTGGTTGTTCTTTAGAAAATTTATTAACGATTGTGAAAAGGTATATCGATAATAATTATTGAGAGAATTTTGACAATAATTCCATGGAAACTCCGCGAAGAAACAACAGCAGCTTTTATAATAGTATAATAGATTGAACTCCAGCAATCAGTAACTGAAAAGCAAACGACAAGACCCTCGTTTATATATACTCTTGAAATAAATCCACAAGCCACCGCCTTTCCATTCAGCCCTAGCATAAACTTCATGAATGACAATGAATTTGAAATCGATGAACCAATTGCCCGGTAGACCACCACCATTTGCACATCGACACCATTTCTTAACCCTCAACTGTCAATTTCGCTCCCCCAGATTGCGATTGCACCAACTCCAAATGGGCCGAGCACCCCGTCAGCTCCGATTAGAATAATCTATTCACGATCTCAAACAGCGAGCCCTTCATTTTCATCCGCTCATCCCGGGCCTCGTGCATTTCAAAATCCTCAAACGAGAGTGACATGCTCGCTCCAGACTGCTGCTGTTGTTGCTGCTGTTGCAGAGAGCTGTGGTGACATCGACACTTATCAACAGCCAGCGACGAACTTGGCGGTGTCGTCACTAGTCGACAGCGAAGGCAACTGACAGGCAACTGATGGAACCAAATTAAAAATAATCGTAAATTAAATTAAAACCAAATCATTTACTCGAGTGCAGAACCAAAGATTCTATGGCAGTTGGGCTGGCATTGCCGGGGGGCTTGTTAAAATAGAACTGTAAGCGCACATCTTCCATCAGCTGTCACCCGGCCGCCCAGCCGGATGGAAACAGGCGAGGTGATTCCTGCCAAGCCACAGTGCGGTACGCGAGGCGTTAATTGAAAGTGAGAGGATCCATTGCACTTCGATTGACACGATTGAGATGCTAAATTTAGAAATGGAATCGATGGGTTCCTCTTGCGGATTTTAAGAGGTTTTGATTAATGTAAATGATTTCATCGAAATCCGACTGATGATGTGATTTTACCTGGGGGATCTTTATGCTGGCTTAATGAACTCTGCAAATGAGCAGCACAGGTGCACGAACTTACTGCACGGATTTGAAACACAAATAAACAACAGTAGTTCTTAGCGATGAAGTAGATAGAAATAACTACAAATTGGCGGTAAATACAGTAGCAGTTGATAAAAGCACTCATTACCATCCGTTTGGACGGGTTGCGATACGATATGAATCATGGACTGAGGCTGTGCATGGTGGTCCCTTTCGAATCCGAAGGCAGGATTTATGAATCTTTTTTTTTTTAGCTTCCTAATGCAATTTAAGAATTTGCAAAATTTACACACTGCGTAAATTTTGCAAATTCCTAAATGGCCAAAAATGGAACTTATGACAAAATGTTACAAGACAAAAGGTCAAATGCACAAATGGTTGGCTTGAACTTAGAGGGACAAAAGGTCGAATGGAAAAAATTAAACTTACATCAAAATTTACAAAACATTGATAAGAAAATGTTCGTTTCGAGATTTAAAAAAAAACTTTAAAAAACACTGCAAATACTCTTAAATAACTACTCATAATTTAAAGCAGAACACTCTCGAGCATAAGTTTAAGGATATCCCAAAAAAATGACAAATTTGTTGTGTTCATATATCTGTCATGTCACGTCCAATTTTCGTTCTCTTTAGATCATTTGAAAGGTATTGAATGGAACTTTCCTCATAAGCAAATTGTTCAATATAATTTTCAAATTTTGTGAGCTAAAAGTTCACCCAAAGTTACAATATTTTTCAAAAATACTCTGAAGAATCGTGACTGATTTTCTCAGAATAGAGTTGGCTAAATTTTGAAATAAAAGTAGTAGTAGAACACTTAGGGATTGTCCATTAATTATATCACACTTTTAGGGGGACGGGGGGTTTTGTAAACTGTGACGAGCCTGACAAAAAACAATTAAGGTCCATATAAAAAATGAGACAAAGGGGGGAGCGGGGGATGGAAATGGGCCAAAATTTCGTGATATAATTAATGGACATTCCCTTATGCTATACCATTCATACCACTCAAATAACCTTCGAGATCGAAAATTGAACAAAACATATATGCATGGTTTTTTTAGGCGTCCTGAAACTTATCATTGGTAGTGTATTTTCTAGAGCAAGGTAGTTATTTGTCTCTTAAATTACCGTGACACGTACAGTAACTTTTTGATATCTTAATTTTCCAAAAAACTGCTTATGATTTAAAGAAGAAGACATATTTTTGAGTTAGCCACCCATTTTATCCTCCAACAATTTGATCAGTTTATCCATTTCGATCTTTTGTTCATTCAACCTTTTGTTCATTGGACCATTGGTTCATTTCGACATATTTTCCATTCAACCTTTTGTCCATTCGACCTTATGTCCATCTAAGTTCAATTCAACCTTTTGTTCCTTCGACCTTTTATCCAATCGACCTTTTGTCCATTCGATATTATTCCCTTTCAACCGTTTGTTCATCTAAGTTCAATTCGACCTTTTGAACATTTGATAATTTGTCCCATGGACCATTTGTCTTTTCAACCTTTTGTCCTTCGACCCCAAATATGACACCAATACACTAGGAAGGTTAATCGATTTTCATTCAACTCCTTTTGAGATCTTATAGAATCCCACCAAGGGATTCTTCAAAATTCCATCAGGGAATCCAAGGAATTCCATCTGGAATTCTGGATAATCTCGCCAAAGATTCTTCGAAATCCTGGCATGCCAACTGCCCGGATTTTTCAATATTAACAAATCAGAGAACAGCACAAATTTCAAAGTGCCACCGAAGGGGTCATTCCCATCTAATGCCCGATCCAACCGCGCGCGATCTTGAAGCGATGATCCGTATTTTTCAGAGTCACTGTCGCAACCGCGACTGAAACCATTCTTTTGCGCCTTTCCTAGTGGCGACACGCGACCACGATCGTCACCCCCCGGATCGACAGATCTTCACTGATATTGGAAGTACTTAGTCGTCGTCCATAATTTGTCCGTTTATCCGATCGCATGCTGCCGTGCCCGCTCAGGTGCTTGTTGCTGAGGAAGATTAGCTCGCGACATCAGCAGGCATCGGAGATACACAAACGAACCATAAACCAAGCGCTGTATGCAAAATGTTTGCTTTGCCCAACTTGCCTATCAGTTTCCATATTGATTTGTTTCACGATCGTTTTCTCTGGTGTTTGTCTTTTGCAGTCGATTTTCGTCACCTGATTGCGATGCTACGGCACAAGCAGCAGGGAATGCTGGGCTAATGGGGAGTGGGTGGTTGTCGATATGAGATGAGAGTGATGCCTTCTGCTTACTTTTTGTGGGGTGGGTGGTGACTAGCAGCATTGGGGTGTAGAAGGAAATCGTTCTGGTTCCATTTTTTCGTCGTAATGAGGTGCTTTGTCGCCGGGCGAATGTGATCTAACGAGATGCTGATTGTGGAGGCTTGGAGAGTGTTCTGGGGAATTGATCGTCTTTTGTATAAAAACGGAGGGACAGCTGGACTAGGACATCAGTTGGTTCGATTCTCTCGATAGGAGCAGGAAGAACAAGTTCCATTGTTCTCTCCTATCTCTGGAAGGATTTATTTGGAGGAGTATCGGTGAAAAGTGTCTATTGATAGTGAAGTAGTGGATACAAAAAGGACTTTGTGGAAAATTTGTTCATGAAGATTTGTCGTAGGAAGTTGGATTTGCAACAACGTGAATGGTAGTCAATTAGTGAACTCAGTGTTTCGATTAGAGGAGTGCAAATTAAGGACAATTGTGAACTGCTAGCAGTTCAGGTGCTCTACCAAGCATGCAACGCTCCGTCAAAAGGATAAAGCTTCTTAAGGTACGGAGTTTCAGTTTCAATTCAGCATCAGTGCTATAAAACGTGAAGTGCAAGCTCCCTACCAGCAGGCGAACTGAAATCTGCTGAATTCAAACGTCGCAACGCTTTTCAACTTATCTTCTTCTCTTTAACTCCATATTCACCACACTCCGACGATCCCCCATCGGAGAGCAGCTGTGCCGCTGTTTGCTGCTGCTAGTCATTGCCATAGTGGTGACGAACGCCAAACCTGAAGCACCAGTTAACTCCTATCTACCGCCGGCGCATGGTCACAATGGGAATGGGTATCACGATGACCATCATCACCACGGCGACGGAGATCATCACCACAATGGCGACCATCATACGGATTTAGTTCCTCCCTCGTCGAGCTACGGCACACCGGACAGTAGCTACGGGCCTCCGAACCATCATTCCGGGTTCGATGATCACCACGATCATCACGAGCACCATGATCATCACGACGACAATCATGATTCGTTTGAGGACGTGAGTTTTGGACAGAGTTAGTTGATTGATTTGGAGTCGAATTTGATTGATGTGAATCGTTACAGGAACCGGCAAAGTATGAGTTCACCTATGAAGTTGATGACGAGGATTCGGATTTGTCCTTTGGACACGAAGAGATGCGAGATGGAGACTATACCACCGGAAAGTACAACGTTCTGCTTCCCGACGGTAGACGGCAGGTAAACTATTGCCAGTGAATTTCGATTTGAGATGTTGTATGATAAGATTTATATTGAAAATATTTTCAAATGATTAACCTGAGTGAGCTTCATTTTTAAAGCATGCTTGGAAGTTTTCATCACCCGGAATTAAAAAAATCTGCAGAGGGTTGACTAAATTTAGCATGGAAAAAATAGCTTAACTTATCAAATACTTGCTTAATAGAATGTTGATTGCACACGCAAAACTAATATCTCTTTCATACATTTACAAACTCTGTATATGTTTCATTCAACACATATAATGGCAGTTCTTGCAATGGACCACATTAAAGAATTTGTTCATGTTACGAAACATTGCAAATTCTGCATACTTTCCATGCTAATCTGTAAAATAATCATAAATTTCCAGCTTAGATGTAGTATTCAGAATGTATTTCTGAGTACTGTAAAACGTATAGGATTGATAAAGGGATATCACTCCAATCCAATCGACTGAAAACCGATGCAATGTTTTGGTTGGCAGCACTTTTTCTCTTGTTTCGCAAGTGTAAAGAGCGGCCTACAATGTATCCGGGTTTGAACCGTTGCGGCAAATCTGCCACAACACATCCAATCCGGATGCATTGTGTAGCGCACTTAGCTTCGCATCGTAACTCACTCATGACTGGTGAGAGTGCAACAGTATGAATTTTATGCGATATCACTTTCTCGTTCATACTACCCTTATAAAATGAGAAAAGGCTCAAGCAACAACTTTGGTTTTATCATATTCTTGTAGATTATGATTTGGACTTTGATTTGAGAGGGTCTAGTATAAGAAAGGAGCGGATTCAAAACAATCTGCCTTGGCAACCTATACCTAGGTGGTTTCTAGCAACATACTCGATTTACTCTGGCTTTGACAGTTCGTTTGGCTCAAAATCAGTCAGTCCGCTCCTCTTTTATACTAGACCCTCTCTAACTTGAATAATGCTCTAAAGCAGTGGTACTCACGCCCCATTTTTCAACAGCTGTATCTTTGTTCGATGGTCATATTTCCCAATCATTTCGACCACACATTCTCAATTTAAAATGAAGTTCAAGGTGAGGTTGTGGCATCATAGAGATCCAAGCACTTGACCCTCACTGCATTAAAACCTTGATAAACCTTGCAATGTTGCTTAAGTGGCCTCCGTAAATATGCAAGATAACAAAAAGAATATCCTGGAAACGGCTCTGCTGACTACTTGAAACTAGGGGAACAGAATTTTTCAATAATTAAATGATCACATCTTAGTCCTTGTTACATCGTATGCCTCGTTGATAGTTACTAGGTTGCTCCACCGAGGATGATCATGGTGATCATGGATTCGTTGTTCTCTAGTTTCAATTGGATAAGACTAGGGTTCTGATGCATGGTCATTTTGGTGTCATCCCAAGAGGTAATCAACTTTGCACATTCCAATCTGTGCCGAGTACTTTATCTGTAATGAAAGCTAGGTCCAGCGTTTTGCTGAACGTGCCAAAGTGTGGCAATCAAGTTATCAGTCTCAGTAACCCATGAGTTTGGCAACCCTGCACTTATGACTTTTGAGATTGTGTGTTTACATTTACAAGTCAAGGACCGATAAAAGTCGTGATAATATTCAACGAGCTAGATGCCGGTCATCCGCTTCAAGGAAGTGGCACTCGAAGATTAGCCCCTCCGCGAGAAGGAGAAGGATGACTCTATCGTGCGTCATTCTGGCAGACTTGTCTGCAACATCATCATGCTACTAGGGCAATGCTACAATCTGAAAAATAGGAAGGATTCGACCTAAAATGCCCACCGGCAATAGTAGTCACAGCAATAGACCTGCAGTAGCTTCCCAGTGTCAGCAGTCGTGGTTAGGTACTACATTTATCTGACTGCCAACCCATAGTTTATCCAAATGTCGGTCCAGAATCTCGATACTGGTTGTAGTCGTTTGAAGATTACCTCCTCCTTGTATCTGCCTGTTGCTCCTTCATTTTTTTTTATTCTTGGTCATGCCGGAATCGCATATTAATTTCTCTGAAACTGCTACCGGTTCCGATTGCGTTCAGTACGACCGTGATTCAGATTGGCTCTGTTACCTCCGGTGTGGTTACCTTCACAATTCTGTTAGCAGCATCTTTCTCAAGGTTGCTGTTGCCATCGATGATACGAACAGTTGAGAAAGAGCGTAAAGAGACCTCCACAGTCGATCGAATCCGAGATCAGTTCATAGAATGAGCTGTACGGCTGACTGATTGGTGAACCATCAATCGTACCAGAGAAACAGCTGCGATTGCAGATACATCTGAAGAATGGTAGGATCGTTCGGTACCGAGGTGATGTTGATACCGTACATTAACGATGCAATGCTCCTTACCCACACAATTGACTCTCGGTGCGGATCCTATGGCCATCGAGTTAATACTTAATTCTAGTTAATTCTGGCCTATTCTGCGGGGCTTGGTGACTCTGACTAGTTTTTGGGCTTCCCTGAAACTATGGACATCTCAATCACATTTGAAATTGTTCGAACACCCTCAAAATTTAAAGTAATTGACGCATTTCGCGCCAAATCGTATTCGGAGCTGGCAGCACCCTCTCAGATTTCAATGAAACTTTCTGGATGTGTGGACCTTGACTAAATATGCCACTTTGCATACTTAGTTTTTCCAAAATTTATCTAGACTAACATTTGAGAAGGGCCAAACTTTTTCTGCCGATTTTTTTCTACAAAATACTATGGAAAAATGACAACTCCTACAAAAATGTGTTGCATGGATGATTTTTAGGAAATTGTCCAAGTTATCGAAAAAAAAAATACTGGAAAAAATTTGATATTAGACCTACACTGAATAAAGTCGCTTTAAAAAAAAATGGCCATGTTTGATTTGGATGAAACTTTGCCTCAAGATAGGTAATTATGTTAACTACCAACCGTCCACACATCGCAAGATGGGCACTTTTAAGGAAAAAAAGTTTTTCTTACAAATTTTTTTTCATGTCTGAACTGATTTTTTTTTTTTTTGATTTGCCATTTTCACACAAAACTAAACCAGTGAAGCTCAAAATCATCTCAGAATCCAATGAAGCTCAATTTGCGATTCAATTTTGTCTAAGTTCACTTTGATTAATCGAGAATTTCATATAAAAAGGGCTCATGATGCATTTCTCGCCAAATCGTATTTGGAATTGGCAGCACCCTCTCAGAGTTCAATAAAACTATTTGGACATGTAGACCTTGTCAAAAAATATCATTCCCTTATTCTGTTGTCTACTACTCATGCAAAATTTGATAAGATGCGAGAGAAAAAAAACAAGATTTTTCATATATCATTTATTTATATATTTGCAATGTTTTAAACCTATTTTCATACATGCTATTTTTTCCTTTTTCCAATCAAGTTAAATATTTTTGGTTCATCTTCTGAATTAGAATACCTTTTTGCCACTACTTTGTTACCAGTTATAGGCACAAAACTGTGGAATGTCTGTGTACCAGATATTGTCTTTGTGCTGTTATATAGTTCTTCGAGTTCTTCTGACATTTCGATGTACTGGTCAGTGGATATGTACTCGAAACGTAGTTTTGTGATATTTTCATCTGTTTGTTCAACTGCCCAGTTTTATAATTCTCGTGGAGTTGTTATGGTGTTTCCATAATCTCGAGCAAGACTAGCTCTCTTTGCCATTTGCTTGAGAGTGCCACCAATGGCATCACAGGGACCTTTTCCATGAGACGTTGCAAAAAAAATGCCATTCTGCTTCTAATCCATGCTTTGACGGAAATCTACACAGACTAGCAAAGTTTTTTTTTTTTTTTTTTTGTATTGTGATGCTGCCCCATCTGACATAAAAGTAATTTTAGAAAAATCTATCGATTGTTTAATAAAATCTATCATTTTAGAGATGAACAACTGAACTGCAAATGTATCGTGAGTCATTACTTCTGATATGATAATGAAGCTAACATTTTCAAGTTTATTGTCTTTCTTATAATAAACTTCAACTGGATGTATTGTTGCTTGAGAATTATTCCAGTGATATCCTTGAGCAGCGTTTTGGAATGTAAATGAATAATTTTCAGAAAAAAATCACAAATTGCTAGAATTTCGCCTTCTTTTAATGATTCTTTTTTTATTTCTTAGAAAAGATGACTGTTGTTTGTAAATAAAGTCATGAGTTATAAGTTTGTTAATTTTATCAATGAGATACGGAACAAATTCATCAACAGGCTTGATAATCGTTTCCAAATTACAACGATCAGTATTCAGCCACTGTTGAAACACAACATCTTGTTTGTCATTTGATTCTAATAGAAAAGTAAGTTCCTTTTCAATATGTTCATTGGCAGAACACTTTTCGCATAATGAACGAAACTTTTTTTTTTAAATTCTGTTCATTTTTAGTCATAGTAAAGATCATTCATATTCCACTAATTTTATGAAAATTCGTTCACTGAAAAAAGTTGAAAATCGAGCGTTGTACAATAAACCTAACTTCAAACAGGTTCTTCCAATAAAGTACACAACTAAAGCGGTAAATCAATAAACATCTGTTTAACAACCAGCCAAGATTTAAAAAAAATATATTCTTGGATTTCAAAATGACGTTGGACAACGATATCTGGTCTCTAGATAACACCATGATTCCGAAAATACCTATATTGAAGGGATTTGACAGTATTTCGCACTTTTTCTGAAATCAGAAGCTGCCATTTTGGATTTTAAAATGACATTGGACATAAATTTATGGTCCCTAGAAGTCACCTCGACTTCAAAAATATCCACATTGAAGGGAGTTTACAGAATTTCTTACTTTTTCTAAAAAAAACATCGGTCTTTGAACGTCATCGAAATTCCAAAAATATCCATATTGAAGAGTATTTGACAGTATTTCCTATTTTTTCTGATATTGGATTTCAAGATGGCGCTGGACATCGATTTTTAGTATCTATACCCTGAAAATATATGTGTTTCAAAAAATATTCAACTAGGGTGTACGCTCAATTTTGTGATACACTTTA